TATTTTAGATAACATGCAGTTTTTCGTATTCTCGGTTTTTCAAACGCCAACTGCACATCTTATCTATCTATCTATCTATCTATCTATCTATCTATCTATCTATCTATCTCAGTCTGTTCATTATCTATCTATCTATCTATCTATCTATCTATCTCAGTCTTTTCATATCCATCTATCTATCTATCTATCTATCCATCCATCCTATCTATTCATATCTATCTATCTATCTATCATATCTATCTATCTATCTATCTATCTATCTATCTCAGTCTTTCATATCTATCTATCTATCTATCTCAGCCTGTTCATATCATCTATCTATCTATCTGTTCTATTTATCTATCTATCATCTCATCTATCTATCTATCTATCTATCTATCTATCTATCTATCTATCTATCTATCTATCTATCTATCTCAGCCTGTTCATATCTATCTATCTATCTATCTATCTATCTCTGTCTTTTCATATCTATCTATCTATCTATCTATCTATCTATCTATCTATCTATCTATCTATTTCAGTCTGTTTATAGGTCTCTATTCATCTGCTATCTTTTTTATCTCAGTTTGTTCACATCTATGTATCATGAAATTCATAACTATCTATCTATATATCTATGTATCTATCTCAGTCCTTTTCATATCTATCTATCTATCTATCTATCTATCATTTGTTGTCTGGTAATCTCTTTCTCTCTTCCTCTCGCCCCCTCTCTCCTATTTCCGTCCCCTCCCTCCATACAAAAAATAATTTAAGCCCCAGTTTGAATCCATATAAATTGATGCTTAGGCCTAGTCATCTGTCGCCATTAAACAATTTCTCAGTTCGTTTCCAGCGCTCGTTGTTTGTGCATTGTTCGCCTTTTCCCTCATTCGTTCGCTACTTGTGTTTGTGTTGTGACCAAATAAATGCTTAAGTAATAATAATAAAAAACACTTTTGCAGATATATCGTATATTAAACAGTAAGTACACCAGAAGAGTATTTACACGACTAGTGAGTGTCTCGAGTGGACTAGCTCTCAATCTATTCACGGTTCCCCGAAGCCTTCTCTCCAACTAATTTTATAGTAGGCGGAAGAAGAGTCTAGCATAGACTCTTAAGAGAGAGGACACCACAACAGTTTGCTACACACTTTTTTCTGATTTGTTCTTTTTCTTCTTCTTGTTTCTTTAGCGGCATATGAACTCTGTATTGGTTATTTAAGGCCGAAATTTCATTTTCTTGGCGCTGTTATGTCTTCATTGCATTGAATGAAAATAACACAATCAAGAAATAGAATGTCGTTTCGAGTCGACGTAGTCTAACTGAAATCGAAAGTAGGCAGATAAGTTAGATCTCCGCCGTCATGGGTAAGACGATTAACTACATTAGGAAGCAAAGCCTCTGATCAAGAAGTTTGGAGGAGCGTGGAACTATTTCTTAATTGCTTGTGTTCCCAGGTTCACCCGAACTCAGGGTGGTAGCACCTGTTTGGGTCCCAGCTATGGGCAAATAGTTAAGAAAACTAGAATAAAGACCCTATGAAAGTGTAAAAATAGGTTTTAATACTATTATTACCAGCAATATATTTTTGAAAAGAAAAATATTACTAGCAATAAAAATCTTGTCGGCATTAAATAACCAATTTAGATTGATATGCCGTGAACGAAACGAAATAAAACGAAATCATCGAACTGTCTGCTTTTTATCTCATTCCGTTGACGATTCTCGGCGTCAGTCCATATGTATTTGGACGAATCCAAGTCCAACTGCACAACAGGGGCATTAGCAATTTCTTATGCAAAACTGTATTGCAGCTGTGGTATGACATATTTCCCCTATTAATGGACCTGTCCTGACCACATATTGTCAGGAGAACTCTGATTGTTGAACTCTCTACCTTCGGGCGGAGAGGAACTCAGACGACGATATGCCTACGGGCAGAGTCCCTTGTGGGAAGATAGACAGCCACCCGGCCCAGTGTATGCGGGGCCTACGGGGAAATTTTTCCCGAGCATACGCGCTCGGAAAATCCCACGTTATGTTGTTCCACATCCCGCCTTGTCGGGATGACTTGTACAAATACAGAGCTCTTTAAAGCAAATTCTTATTGTCTATATATATATATATATATATATATATATATATATATATATATATATATATATATGTACTAATACAGATGGTGATTTTTTTTTTGTCAAAAAGGAATTTGGTAATTTTTGTAACTATGAAAATGGATTGATAGTATTTTTACTATAAAAATGTATTTTTCTACTTTGATAGTGCTTTGATCTCATTTTAGGGGTTAACTATTTGCCCATAGTTTGGATCCTAAATATTTCTCTTCAAATCCAATAATTTCTTGATTTAGGGTAGATTTGCATAATTTTCTAATGCAATGTAACACAGTCTCTTCTCTTATAATCCGATCGGTAACCTCATTTGTTAATTAAATTATTTGTTATGTAAATCCTTAAATCTTATATAAATAGGGATAATCCATTCGAAACCTTACTGAACAAAAAGCGTATTAGAATGAAGTATGTACTGACCGATCAACATATATGACGATATTAGCTCTCAATAAAATAATTTAATCGATCGAGCACTGTAGGGAGGAAAGAGCGAATTTGTAAACAGTCACTATTACTGCTGATAATGCAAGACTCTCCAAGCCGATCGAGTTCTCTAAGTGACTGGTGTGTTCATGAAAAATAAATACGCAAAAATTCGCCTTTCTCTCTGCCAAGCATCGATGGCCTAAGAGTTAGAATCTCCGAATGTGACCAAATCGATCGGGTTTCGGTCCCGGCCTGAAGCGATCAGATGTCTAGTCACACTGATGAGCTGTGACACACCGAAACGGTGTGTCTTTGGGTGACTATATATATTATCGACAGATCCAAAAAGTGTGGATGGTCCGACACAAAGCTTCACCTCTTGAAATAAATCATTGTGTTGGTTTTCTGACAACTACAATTAGTTCCACACATATACGGATCCGGCTACTGGGAAAAACACTACGAAACAACATCAATTCATCTTGGCACTTGGAATGTACGAACTCTCCAGAACAACAACACAGCGCCAGAAAGAAAAACAGCTTTGGTCACATTGGAGCTAAAGAAGTACAACATTGATATAGCAGCACTGAGAAGTAAGCATCAGTCGACTACATGAAATGAGAAAGCAAAATCAGACATCTAACAGAGTTCCTGCTGCACTTGGATGCAATACATTCTCCTGTACTGTTTGTGGTCTTTTGGGCAATTCTCAAGCCGGTCCCAAATGTCATGCCCGTCATACGCATGCAGATAATTAGTTCGTGGTCGTCGGAACCTCATACGTCGAACTCGACAGGGAGAGTCCGTCATTATATATATATATATATATATATATATATATATATATATATATATATATATATAGATAGATAGATAGTAACACAACTGGGGGGTAGACTTTTCTAGATAGTAGTTAGATCCAGTGACAGAAACCAAAGAATGTGAGTTCAATACCTGGTTAAGGCAGTGGTGAACTTGAAGAGGGGAATTAACAGGAGATAATTGATAATTGACATCCATTAGACATGGCACGTGGAACTAGAACAGTGAGCGAAATAAAGGGTTATGTTCGACATTCCAACCACCTGATGAAGGCCGGAGCGTGCAACTGCCGAAACGTTGTAATAAATATGGCGACAAAGATGAGGACAATAATTCGAATAATGTAAATAATGTACATAATACCACATCATAGAAATATATTTATATATATATATATATATATATATATATATATATATACACATACACACACACACACACACACACACATATATATATATATATATATATATATATATATATATATAACGCAGGATGTGTGTATGTGTGTAACGAATGCACGGCCGCACCAAAATTTTCATGCACATGCTCCAAGTTAGCGGAAAAGCCAAGACCGACTTTGCATTTCCCAACTACCATCGATAGTGGAAATAATCGATTTTTTCATGCTTCTACAGCAGTTTTCATGTAGTTTGCGGCAATTTTGTACTAGCCAGAGTGAGACCCAATAGCTGGCTGCCACGAATAGGCTGGAAGATTCTATTGGCCAGCGTGAGAGCCAACAGCTGACTGACACGAAAGTTAACTATCATGCTAGCATGCAAAAAAAAAATCGATAGCTGCATTCGTCACAAGTGGGAAAAATCTAAATCTGCATGGCACTTTACTCCAATTGGCTCATTCGCTTGCTTAAACTCAACGTTGATTCTGATTCTGCAGAACTGGGTTGAGTGTGAAAAATGTTGTTAACATTCTTTTTTCCAGTTACGAGTCCTTTTTTAAAGCTGATCGTTTTGTGTTCATTTTGTTTAGTTCTTTTTTCGTAACAGATTTATTGTTTAGTATAGAGCTTAGAAAAAATTCGCAGTGTGAGATAGGCAAGAAGTAAGGCATGTAGCAACATCAGCACGGAAAAGGGCACTCCTTTAAAGGCAAGGAAGGGCAAAAATATTTTAAGTCAAGTGATAGCGATTGCTGTATGAGTCGTACGATTTTTGAATGAAGCACGGGCAACATCGGGCCAGGCTGCTAGGATATATATATATATATATATATATATATATATATAGTGTACTTCAATTTATATTACAATGACTCATTCATACAAAAAATAGATTAGTAAAGTTAATGATATAAAATGGCGAAAACTCTTCGCAAACCAAATTTTAATGTCGCATTATCAGAATGAGATTTGAAAGGTGACTGTGACACATGGAGGGATTGGTGTAATGGTGTGGGGTGCTGTTTGACCAGAGGTTGAATGGTCCAAAATACTGTCAGATATTAGAGAAAGGAACACTCCCACTATTTAAAACCAATCAGATTGACAAGAATGTCTACCTTTTTCAAGATGGAGCAAAGTAGCAAAGGCCTGGAAGGAACTGCAAGGAATCAAGACATGAATCCAATAAAGCACGTTTGGGGGCACCTTGACCGAAGACTTCGAGAGCGTGCAACCAAAATCATGTAAGTTATCTGTTATATACCATACCTATGAACACTAATGGGTATGTCCCAATCCTCCTAAACGTTGGACACTATTGTAAGTGTGTGTGCGCGCGCGTGTGTGTCTGTGTGTGTGTGTGTGTGTGCGTGGGTGGGGGGTAATATGCTATCTAAGTAGTCCACTACTAGCAGTGGTTTACCTACTCTACGCCGCTGGCGAGTATTGTATTTTGGTTGATGTTATAAAGATTACCATTTCATTTCCAACCTCCGTTTTAGTTATTCCTCATTCAGTAACCCTTTCTAGGTTACAACATATTATTTACACTATATTCGGGCTATTGTCCTCATCTTTGTTTTTCTTTATATCACAACGTTTCAGCCGTTGTGCTCTCCGGCCTTCCTCAGGTATATATTATCCTTGAGGTTAAACATATCTATATACGCCTGATGACGCTGTGATAAAAACAAGATGAAGACAATAACCAAATAGAGTAATTAAGAAAATATTCGACCTTCGTGTCCAAAGAATGTTTTTTTTCCATGACACCGCCATTATTTTAACTATCTTTGTTTTCATGTGTTCCTTTTAATCACTTCGTTTTTTATTTCATCATTTTTCTTTGAGTAAATATTATTTACCGGTTAATTAAACCGTATAATCAACTGTAATTGGAGATTTTTCATCATCGGAATTGTTTCAACTTGAAAGTCCGCAACAAATCAATGTGATCTTCAGCAAGTTTGTAAATGACTATTCCCCCCCCAAATATTTTGACACATGATTAGGAATACCTGGATTTACCAGGGATCATTCTTTCTATTTTTAACGTCGAATTTACATGAGATTATGGCTTTCAACAAATTCTTTATTATCTAGGATTTGCCATTACTAAGGAAATTGTTATATACCGTACCTATGAACACTAATGGGTATGTCCCAGTTCTCATGAATATGTTGGATATTATTGTAAGTGGGGATAATATGCTAAGTGGTGCACCACTACGAGTGGTTTACCTACTTGACGGCGCTGGCGAGTATTGTATTTTGTTGATGTTATAAAGATTACCATTTCATTTCCAACCTCCGTTTTGGTTATTCCTCATTCAGTAACCCTCTCAAGGTTACAACACTATCTATCTATCTATATATATATATCATAGATAGCTATATAGATACTGAACTATCTATCTATCTATCTATCTATCTATCTATCTATCTATCTATCTATCTATCTATCTATCTGTTATATATCGTACCTATGAATACTAATGAGTATGTCCCAATACTCATAAATACGTTGGACACTATTTTAAATGGGGCTAATATACTAACTAGTGCATCACTAGCAGTGGTTTACCTACTTCACGGCGCTGGCGAGTATTGTATTTTGTTGATGCTATAAAGACTACCATTTCATTTCCAAACTCCGTTTTGCTTATTCAGTAAACTTTTCTAGTTTACATCACTATCTATCTATCTATCTATCTATCTATCTATCTATCTATCTATCTATCTATCTCCGTATTTTCCTATCTATCTATCTATCTATCTATCTATCTATCTATCTATCTATCTATCTATCTATCTGTTATGTCCTGGTTCCTTGTACCACGGTAATAGTCCAAGGGAGAACCAATAAAGAAGAACTCGAACACATCTATGGAATAACACAGATATATTACAAACAGGAATATATACAGAGAAGTAGAAGTGTTAGTATGAACAATCAGGTTTAGTAGAGAGCAATGTACAGTGCGTTCTGCTTGATTATGCAAAGTAAATTTTTCATCTAAAGTGTCAATAAATTCTGTTTTTTTCAGACTTGGTGCTTCTTACAGATTAAATTATATTTTCAGACAAGAGAATCTGGTCAATGAAAAAGAAGTTGTATAGTAACATAGTTCTTTTTCTCAAAGTATGTAAAAAAGGCACAGTTTCAAGTGTTCGGTCTGATTAAGCAATCACCATATAAATCCTTAATATGGGTCAGAAAAAGGGTCTTACTAAAAACGTTCATGCTGAAATTACTCGCATGCTTGGAAGTGGTCTGTCAACGCTAGAAATTTCAAAAAAGTTACATAGAGACCACAGTACAATCAAAGCATTCGTCTTAGGCAGTAAATCATGCAGAAAGACACCTAAACGATTGCATTTGCGAAAGTTAACTGCCAGAGATCTTCGTAAAATTAAATATGAAGTCTCGAAGAAACCGCATGAAACTAGTAAAAAAATATTTGAAAGCGCTGGAGTGCCCAAAGTTGGTAAAACTACCCGTTGTGAGGTCCTCAAGACCCTTGCCAAAGTGAAGAGTCCCATCAAGAGGCCCCCATTGAGCAAAGCAAAAAGATGAAAAGAGTTGAATGGGCACACAGTTACATGAAGATCAATTTTAGCAATGTGATTTTCACCGACGAGGGACGTGCTACCCTTGATGGTCCTGAGGAGTGGTCATCTGGATGGGTGTTAAATGGTCGACCAGCAGGAGTACGCATTCGTCGACAACAGGGTGGTGGAGGTGTGATGTTTTGGGCTGGGATCCGCGGAAATGAACTAATAGGCCCACACAAAGTACCCAAAAGGCTTAAGCTAAATTCAAATGCATATTGTAGGCTTTTGGAAGATGCCTTCCTGCCCTGGCTTGATGAACAACCAATTCAGAAAAGAAGATCGTTGATATTTCAGCAGGATAATGCTCCAGCGATTAGATCAAGAAGCACCAACAATTGGCTATCAGACTATGGGTTCAAAGGGCAAAATTTAATGGTATGGCCTCCAAACAGACCTGATTTAAATCCAATAGAAAATTTGTGGTCTATAGTCAAGAGGCGGATTAATGCTGAAAACAAGCAATTCACCAGCTTAGAAATCCCGTGGAAAGTAATGGTAAGTGCTTGCCGATCAATGAAACCTTCTGAAATTGAAACATTGACGTCAGCAGTGGACAGACGCCTCATAACGGTTTTTAAGAATGGAGAATGTCAAGTTTGTTCGTAGCCGCATTAACAGACTTGTTTTGTTTTGTTTAACATGCTATACATATGTATTATGTAATGTAGGACTTAGAACAGACGATGTATCGTCATATGCGCCACAATTCAATTAATAAAATTTAGTATAAAATGTGTTTTTCTTGTTTTATTTTCCATTTGCATAATGAAAGTGAACACTAAATTAGGGCTTAAGTTCAGAAATCATTAAAAAGAAGCACGTTTTGTATATTTCGACAACTTAAATGATTGACAAAATAGTAAAATAGTATCAACAACACTTTACCTTTTATTCTTCTGAATATATTGCTTAACTTGGATATTTTTAGGTAAAAAATAACTTTGCATAATCACGCAGAACGCACTGTAGTCTCGACCAGTATCACTATTGCAATGTCTTGCAGTAATTGTCTGAGCGCGACTTTGTTTCGGACTGCCTCTGACTCGACTCTTGACTCGACTTGAACTACTGACTCGACTCGAACTACTGATTGAGGCGCAGTATTTATTAAGTATGGAATAGTCCATTATTATTATTATGGGTAAGATCCCATAACACTATCTATCTATCTCGTATATACTGTACCTATAAAAACTAATGGGTATGTCCCAATCCTCATGAATACGTTGGCGGTATTGTAAGTGGGGATAATATGCTGTCTAAGTAGTGCACCACTACTAGTTGTTTTACCTACTTCACGCCGCTGGCGAGTATTGTATTTTGTTGATGCTATAAAAATTACAATTTCATTTTCATCCTCCGTTTGGGTTATTCCTCATTCAGTAACCCTTTCTAGGTTACAACGATCCTACATACTCGTGACACTCCTGCTTTAAATGCGGGTGAAATGCTTAAAAACACTGTCAGGAAATTGTCCAGCATTCACTGCCATAAAGATATTTAGATATTACAAAGCATTTCAACATTCTTTTTTTTTTCCAACGAAATTTTCCTGTTTCTTAATATTTTGCTTAGTTTTTGGAGAGCGTCTTTCCCTATTCCGATTTGGTTATGGTTGGGGAACTTAAAAATAATAATGAGAAGCTGGCAAGAACATTTCGGGTAGAGACATCGGGCGAAAAACCAGATCAAATGGGAAATTGTGAAACTTGATGTCGCTCTGGTAAGAAGCCAGCCATTTTTTTATCAACTGGGAACTGTGACGTCATAGAGCGTTAAAAGTGCAACCTGCCAAGATCTAAATACCATAATTCTCAGCTAGGTCAACTTGTTCCGTTTGTTTGACAACACATAAAGATTAGCAACATCAGCAGCAGGAGACGAAGACGGGCTTACAGATATTGTTTCAAATTTGTTCATACCATTTAACTACCATCCACTCCTCTATGCGCATGCGCGCGTGTGTATGTATGCTTGTGAGTGTATGCTTGTTTGTGTGTGTGCCTCTTGTGTGTGTGTGTGTGTGTGTGTGCCTCGTGTGTGTGTGTCTTCTCATTCGATATAATTGTTCATTGTTGTATTGTTTTTGCTCGAGGGTGGATTCTTTTGTTTTTCTTTTAAATATTTCTGCTTTTACTTTATTACCTTTTCTTTTGGGTACACGTGTACTTTATGGGCTGGGCAGCCTCATTCTGACATCATTGTATTTTTATCTTTCAATTGTCTCTTTCTCTCTACCTTCCTTCTTTCCTTCCTTCCTTTTTTTCTTTCGTTCTTTCTTTCTTTTAGTCTTTTTTTCTTTCTATTTCCAGTTTCTGTCTGCCTGTCGGACGGTCGGTCTTTCTTTCTTTCTTTCTTTCTTTCTTTCTTTCTTTTTTCTTTCTTTCTTTCTTTCTTTTCTTTCTTTCTTTCTTTCTTTCTTTCCAGTTGCTCTTTGTCATTAGTTCTTTCATTCTTTTTCCCATCCTCCTTCCTTTCTTCATTTCTTTCTTTATTTCTTTCTTTTTTCTATCTTCTTTCTTTCTTTCTTTCTTTCTTTCTTTCTTTCTTTCTTTCTTTCTTTCTTTTCGCCATTCTTTCTTTCTTTCTTTCTTTCTTTCTTTTCGCCATTCTTTACCTTTTCTACTATTTTCTTGCTTTCTTTTTATAACCAATCTTTTTCTTTCGTTCTCCCCCACCTTCCTTCTTTAATTTCTCTAGTATTTTTTTTCTTAGTCTCTTTCATTTATCTTTCAATTTTCATTCTTTCTTTATTCGCCTTCATCATTTTTTCTTCCATCCTTTCTTTTATTTTTCACTCGTTCACGTTTCTTTTTCCAAAAGGTGATTGTTTTATATTCTTTCAATTTCTTCTTCTTCTTCTTCTTCTTCTTCTTCTTTTTCTTTTCTTGCTGTTGTTGTTGTTGTTGTTTTTGTTGTTCTTGTTGTTCTTGTTCTTTCTTCTTCTTTTTCCTTGTTCATCTTGTACTTGCTCTTCTTCTTCTTTCTTCTTCTTCTTCTTTTTCCTTCTTCTTCTTCTTCTTCTTCTTTCTTCTTGTTCTTGTTCTTCCTTCTTATTATTCTTTTTTCTTGCTGTTGTTGTTTTTGTTGTTCTTGTTCTTCTTCTTTCTTCTTCTTTTTCTTCTTCTTCTTCTTCTTGTTCTTCCTTCTTCTTCTTTTCTTCTTCTTCTTTCTACTTGTTCTTGTTCTTCTTCTTCTTCTTCCTTCTTCTTCTTCTTTCTACTTGTTCTTGTTCTTCCTTCTTCTTCTTCTTCTTCTTAATCTTTCTCTTCATTCCAATGCTTCTTCTTCTTCTTCTTCTTCTTCCTTGTTCTTCCTTCTTCTTCCTGTTCTTCTTCTTTCTTCTTCTTCTCTGGCAACAGGTCAGGCACAATAAGTAACTGATACATACCAATATATGCCAACATGAAACAGTAGATAAGCATCGTTGTCAGTATATATATTCAGACAATGACAAACATTACCCCCCCCTACCAGAAATAAAGAAGTCTTTAAATATAGATCTTTATGTAGATACTGATGCACATGGCCAGAGTAAACGATAAAGAAAGTAAATTAATGGACAAACGTTTGATTAGATTCCTTGATTTTACAATTTCCAGGTAACAGGGTAGTGGCGCCCGAAATAAAATCGTGGAAGACCTCCACGACGTTCATTTCTACATTATTTTTTGCCAGAAAATCACCGGGAAGTTATTAAAAAAAAAAAAATTGTTCTTGTCCTGGGGTAACACAAACCACCAAGATCTGGGTCTACCAAATTGATATAATCTCAACTCTCATGGACGTTTGGCAAACTTGAAAGATTCCATCAAATCCTACGGAATACATGGCAGGACTGGATCACAAACAACGAAGTTCTCCTCCACAAAAAGATGGATAGCCTAGAATATTGAATAATTACCATAGCTTGGTAGCGTTCATCATTCTTCTTAACGGAATTAAAGGCCGTCCACATTCAATTCAAAAGAGTCTTCGGCGATCCTGGGTTAACACAAGAACATGGAACTGTTGTAATCTCTCGAATCTCCTGTTCGCCTGTGAAACCTGGATACTCTACCGAAGAGACGTCCTCAAACATAAAAGATTCCATCAAATAAAACTTTGTCAAATCCTACGGAACATGTGGCAGGACCGGATCACAAACAATTAAAGTCTCCTAGAAATCATTATGATTCTTCAATGGGTCGGACACTTTTCCCGAATGCCAGACATCCGTCTACTTAAACAAATCCTCTTTTCAGAGCTCATATCTGGCAGGAGTGCATGTGGAGACCCGCGTCTTTTATTCAAGGATCGGTTCACAAACAATTAAAGTCTCCTAGAAACCATTATGATTCTCCACTGTCTTCAATGGGTCGGACAGTTTTCACGAATGCCAGACATCCGTCTACCTAAACAAATCCTCTTTTCAGAGCTCGCATCTGGCAGGAGAGCGTGGAGACCCACGTCTTTTTATTCAAGGATCGGTTCACAAACAATTAAAGTCTCCTAAAACCATTATGATTCTCCACTGTCTTCAATGGGTCTTTTCACGAATGCCAGACATCCGTCTACCTAAACAAATCCTCTTTTCAGAGCTCGCATCTGGCAGGAAAGCACGTGGAACCCGCGTCTTTTATTCAAGGATCGGTTCACACAATTAAAAAGTCTCCTAGAAACCATTATGATTCTCCACTGTCTTCAATGGGTCGGACAGTTTTCCGAATGCCAGACATCCGTCTACCTAAACATATCTTGTTTTCAGAGCTCGCATCTGGCAGGAGAGCACGTGGAGACCCGCGTCTTTTATTCAAGGATCGGTTCACAAACAATTAAAGTCTCCTAGAAACCATTATGATTCTCCACTGTCTTCAATGGGTCGGACAGTTTTCACGAATGCCAGAACATCCGTCTACCTAAACAAATCCTCTTTTCAGATGCTCGCATCTATTAAACCCGCGTCTTTTATTCAAGGATCGGTTCACAAACACCAAAGTCTCCTAGAAACCATTATGATTCTCCACTGTCTTCAATGGGTCGGAAACGAATGCCAGACATCCGTCTACCTAAACATATCTTCTTTTCAGAGCTCGCATCTGGCAGGAGAGCACGTGGAGACCCGCGTCTTTTAAGGATCGGTTCACAAACAATTAAAGTCTCCTAGAAACCATTATGATTCTCCACTGTCTTCAATGGGTCGGACAGTTTTCACGAATGCCAGACATCCGTCTACCTAAACAAATCCTCTTTCAGAGCTCGCATCTGGCAGGAGAGCACGTGGAGACCCGCGTCTTTATTCAAGGATCGGTTCACAAACAATTAAAGTCTCCTAGAAACCATTATGATTCTCCACTGTCTTCAATGGGTCGGACAGTTTTCACGAATGCCAGACATCCGTCTACCTAAACAAATCCTCTTTTCAGAGCTCGCATCTGGCAGGAGAGCACGTGGGACCCGCGTCTTTTATTCAAGGATCGGTTCACAAACAATTAAGTCTCCTAGAAACCATTATGATTCTCCACTGTCTTCAATGGGTCGGACAGTTTTCACGAATGCCAGACATCCGTCTACCTAAACAAATCCTCTTTTCAGAGCTCGCATCTGGCAGGAGAGCACGTGGAGATCCGCGTCTTTTATTCAAGGATCGGTTCACAAACAATTAAAGTCTCCTAGAAACCATTATGATTCTCCACTGTCTTCAATGGGTCGGACAGTTTTCACGAATGCCAGACATCCGTCTACCTAAACATATCTTCTTTTCAGAGCTCGCATCTGGCAGGAGAGAGCACGTGGAGACGCGTTTTATTCAAGGATCGGTTCACAAACAATTAAAGTCTCCTAGAAACCATTATGATTCTCACTGTCTTCAATGGGTCGGACAGTTTTCACGAATGCCAGACACATCCGTCTACCTAAACAAATCCTCTTTTCAGAGCTCGCATCTGGCAGGAGGCACGTGGAGACCCGCGTCTTTTATTCAAGGATCGGTTCACAAACAATTAAAGTCTCCTAGAAACCATTATGATTCTCCACTGTCTTCAATGGGTCGGACAGTTTTCACGAATGCCAGACATCCGTCTACCTAAACAAATCCTCTTTTTCAGAGCTCGCATCTGGCAGGAAGCACGTGGAGACCCGCGTCTTTTATTCAAGGATCGGTTCACAAACAATTAAAGTCTCCTAGAAACCATTATGATTCTCCACTGTCTTCAATGGGTCGGACAGTTTCACGAATGCCAGACATCCGTCTACCTAAACAAATCCTCTTTTCAGAGCTCGCATCTGGCAGGAAGCACGTGGAGACCCGCGTTTTTTTGTTCAAGGATCGGTTCACAAACAATTAAAGTCTCCTAGAAAACCATTATGATTCTCCACTGTCTTCAATGGGTCGGACAGTTTCACGAATGCCAGACATCCGTCTACCTAAAACATATCTTCTTTTCAGAGCTCGCATCTGGCAGGAGAGCACGTGGAGACCCGCGTCTTTTATTCAGGATCGGTTCACAAACAATTAAAGGGAGAAACCATTATGATTCTCCACTGTCTTCAATGGGTCGGACAGTTTTCACGAATGCCAGACATCCGTCTACCTAAACAAATCCTCTTTTCAGAGCTCGCATCTGCATGGAGACCCGTCTTTTATTCAAGGATCGGTTCACAAACAATTAAAGTCTCCTAGAAACCATTATGATTCTCCACTGTCTTCAATGGGTCGGACAGTTTTCACGAATGCCAGACATCCGTCTACCTAAACATATCTTCTTTTCAGAGCTCGCATCTGGCAGGAGAGCACGTGGAGACCCGCGTCTTTTTTATTCAAGGATCGGTTCACAAACAATTAAAGTCTCCCTAGAAACCATTATGATTCTCCACTGTCTTCAATGGGTCGGACAGTTTTCACGAATGCCAGACATCCGTCTACCTAAACAAATCCTCTTTTCAGAGCTCGCATCTGGCAGGAGAGCACGTGGACCCGCGTCTTTATTCAAGGATCGGTTCACAAACAATTAAAGTCTCTAGAAACCATTATGATTCTCCACTGTCTTCAATGGGTCGGACAGTTTTCACGAATGCCAGACATCCGTCTACCTAAACATATCTTCTTTCAGAGCTCGCATCTGGCAGGAGAGCACGTGGAGACCCGCGTCTTTTTTATTCAGGATCGGTTCACAAACAATTAAAGTCTCCTAGAAACCATTATGATTCTCCACTGTCTTCAATGGGTCGGACAGTTTTCACGAATGCCAGACATCCGTCTACCTAAACAAATCCTCTTTTCAGAGCTCGCATCTGGCAGGGAGAGCACGTGGAGACCCGCGTCTTTTATTCAAGGATCGGTTCACAAACAATTAAAGTCTCCTAGAAACCATTATGATTCTCCACTGTCTTCAATGGGTCGGACATTTTTCACGAATGCCAGACATCCGTCTACCTAAACAAATCCTCTTTTCAGAGCTCGCATCTGGCAGGAGAGCACGTGGAGACCCGCGTCTTTTATTCAAGGATCGGTTCACAAACAATTAAAGTCTCCTAGAAACCATTATGATTCTCCACTGTCTTCAATGGGTCGGACAGTTTTCGAATGCCAGACATCCGTCTACCTAAACAAATCCTCTTTTTCAGAGCTCGCATCTGGCAGGAGAGCATGGAGACCCGCGTCTTTTATTC